ACCATTCTTTCTCTCCCCTTCCCCATCTTTAGTATCCAATGTACTCACGGGATTACGTGTATGTTCGACGGTACATTGTGGACCAGGACAACAATCTGATGGTTCTGGTGTCACGGTAAGGGTTCCAGGTGGAAGATGCATGTTCCACAGTTAAAGTAAATGCAAATGCAGTGTGTATGTGGTGCTACATTGTGTGGTTCTGCTCCCCAAGTCTTGGATTTCAAAAGGCCAGGAGGGTGCTGAAGGAATTAAAGGGAGGCAGCATGAAGACAATGCGCGTGAAGTCTTTGGGTGTGAAGTCATGTTAAGAATTGACCCCCCCTTCCAGATCGCCTGTGATTTGGCATCCCTGCCTGCGTCCGGCGATCCTTGACAGCAGGGAGCACTGCCTAAGACTGAGGGGGAAAGGGGATCCCTTTGTCATGGTTCTCCACCTCTCTCCTGGCCCTGCACCTCCCACGTGGAGCAGCAAGAGCTGGCACGTCCTCTTGGGCTGATTTCTCTCTGCCTTATGAAGGACCTGTCCTGGGGCCGGCCGCTTCAGAGGCTCCACCCCTTCAGAACTCCCATGGAGTCAAAGTGATTCCTGTGGGAAGCTGTCACGGCCCCAACGTCCCATTCCCTTGTGTCAAGGCTGCCTCCAAGCTGATTGTCAGGCAGTGAGCTGTGAAAGGGCCGGTCACTGCCAAACAGCTGACCAGCAGGCACTGCCTTAAAGGTGCTATGTACTTTGCTGGCTTGGTGAATAGGTGGCAGAGGGCTAATTCCTTGGGTCCCTCAGGTGTATGGCCCCAGAGTTCCTGAGTGCCTTACGTAAAATGTTCAAATACACCCGATCCAACTTGTATCTGCCCAGGGCCCTTCTAAAGTACCGTGTGCTACGGAATGTGAATAGCTTGGGGAGTGCGAGTGAGGCCTTCAGGTCTGCTTTAGCTCTTCAGGGAAATATTTCTTTTCTGCACTGCTTTTTCCAGAGCGGTTGAGCACCCGAATGTCCCAGAGGATCCTGACTTTGTCCGTGTACGAACTTATGAATCCCAGATGGTTATTCGCCCTCACAAAACATTTGATGAGGTGAGCTTCCTGTCAGCCTTCAAGGGAAGCTTCAGGTCTGCCCTGTTCGGGCTGGTCCTTCCCCCATCAAGCACGCTGGCACGTGTGTCGTGGTAGCGCAGTGCTCATGCAGCGTGTGTGTGTGTGGGGTGTGTGTGTGGGTTTGGAGCGGAAGCCAAACGATCACCCTGGGATCTTGCTGTACTCAGCAGCGACATCTGCTCATAAGCTGCTCTTGCTATACAGGCAAGGCAGGAACTGGTCTAATAGATGCAGTCAGCCGGAAGCCCTGGAAGCTTTTGCTTTCTTTAAACTGTGGGGGGGTCTGCGTGGTAGTCCTTGCCGGATGGACTCCTGGGAAGGGGCCGCTAATCTTGCTTCTCTTCCTAGAACGGCTTTGACTACCTGCTGACATACAGCGACAACCCTCAGACTGTGTTCCCTCGCTACTGTGTGAGCTGGATGGTCTCTAGTGGTGAGTCATGGAGCTGGGCCCCCTCCGGTCGGGGAGATCAACGTCAGGTAGTAGATGAAGACCGAAACGACACATTGCATGGGCCACTAGTGTTCAGCCCAGGTGTCCTGTCCCCAGGTGTTCTTCTGGCCAGCACTATATACAGATTCAGAACATGGTTCAGAATGGTCTTTTAAAAGTTTTGGTAATTCCAGAGGTTCAGGGCTACAATCCCAGGTTGCTCCTCTGCTGCCTGAGAGGAGGACTCTTAAGAAGCAGGGATGATAAAACTCTGTTGAAACATCCACTTGGAGTCACTTCCAAGTCACTGCCTCTGTGCTGGGTGGATAATTGCTTTTAACTGTTCAGTCTTGCGGCAGGAAGTCCTGGTCTGGCACAATAGCTGACAGGGGCTTTGTTGTCCTCCAGAGCAGCTGGCCATGAAGCTTGAGGGTCTGCCTTTCTGTAGGAGGAAGCAAGAAGTGCCTGTGTTGGCAGTGGCTCTCTTTGCAGGAACCCTTTGGCAAGAGATGCTTAACACTGCATCACACTTTGTTTTTTGTTTTTTAGTTACCCTAGCTGTTTACTTAGATGCAAGTCCCACCGAGTTCACAAAGTCTGGCTATCGGCAAGCGTGCATCATGTTGCAGTTTAGGTGCACCACCCTCGACACTTCTTTGAGTTCTGAAAAAAACACGCCCTGAGATCCTGCATTTCTCTAGGGCAAAAACATCAGTGGGTAATTGAGTGACAGTCTAGCACATGTACGTGCACCATTTCATACGTGTCGGATTCTCACACTCCGGGTTACCGTGTTAATTCCTACACACAAATGGCTGCACCTCAGGAATTCTGTAATGTTGACTGCCTAAAGAGGGAGACTGGGGGGATGTCAGGATGAAGAGCGCAGGCATCTTTGGGCAGTGAGAGGGTAGCCCTATAATATGCTGTTTTGTGACTGAAAGCCACTTCTCAGACCCTGGTCTTGGTCAATAGCCCTTCTCTCCCCTCTCCATTGTGAACCCTTCTCATTCTAGGCATGCCAGATTTCCTGGAAAAGCTGCACATAGCAGCCCTGAAAGCCAAGAACATGGAAATGGAAGTGCAAGACTACATCTCCTTTAAGCCCGTGGAGGGAGGGAGCAGCAGCAGCAGCAGTGAGGGGAAGGCCAGTGTGCCCAGCCAGGAGCACAAGGATGAAGGCTCCTGCAGCCCTCTTCAGATGGACTACGCTTAAAGGAAGGTGCTCCCCTCCCTCCCCAAGTTGGCAGCCCCCAGCCTCTCACGGACGACCGAGGGACTGTGCCGCCAAGGAAGGAAGCCGCTGGGGCCACGAGGCTCCTCTCGGCATCATCGTTCAGCCCGTCTCCGGTCGCCATGCTCCTTGCCCTTCCCCCTCTTTTGTGCCATCTTGGAAGAAACCAGTAATACCATGGAGGCTTGGAGCCAAGCCTGGCAATCCTGAACAGCAGTTTCGTGTAGCTCTGTATATACCGGTGATCTTATTTTCTACTGGGAATGCTCTCCTCCCTGACGGTTTTGGTGCTGCCACGTGATGGTGGGTGCCCCCCCCCGCTAAATTGCCTGGCCGCTGCAGCCTTTTAACAGTTTTTTTTTTTGTACATATTGTGGCATACGGGCACCAGCAGTGCCTGAGCCATGTGTGTTGTGTGAAGCCAGTCCAAAAGACGGACACTCGCTTCTGGGAGCCCAGAAGTTGGATCTCTCACCTCTTCGGCCACGCCTGTTAGCCCAAGTGAGCCCTCGCTCTCTCCCTCGCCACGTACCGAGGGCCATTTCTCTACTGCCAAAGTGCCTTCCTCCCCCTCTGGCACTGCTGACTGCAGTCACGTCAGCTGCTGGAGGCAGACCCCGTGCCGGGTGGAGGCTGCACAGGGGCCGCCTTGTTCAGCGCCGCCTGCCGCCGCCTGAAGGGTTAAGAAGAAGGGGCCATTGTGGATCTCCTCTCCCAGTCTTTGGCTTAGCGACATTTCTTGTTTAATTTCTCGAAAGGCAGCACGTTGGGGTTTAACGTTAGTCAAGTGAAGAGCTTCATCACAAGTGCTGTCTTAGTCACCTGAGGGCGATGTGTGTTTTGGGCAGGGGGTGGGCAGGGACAAGGGCTACAGAGTGCTTCACAGCCCGGGGCTCCAGGTTCAGGCAGGAGGTCTCTGCATCACTTGGGTGCAAATCAGTGGGTCCTGTTAGTCTCTTCCGCACCGTGGGTCCGGAGGCCTGTGTGAACGGCAGACTTCCCTCGGGCTACAAGTGGAGGAAGGGAACCATGAAGGGAACCGGGTCAGATGTGTTTGACTGGAGAGAGTGTCTTGTGCACTTTCCGCCACGGTGGCAAGAGCTTTGAATTCAAAACCTAAAAAGGTTGGTCAAGAATAGAAAAGGGCCAACTCTAAAAATCTAATTATAAAACATACAAAAATATACATGTATTTATTAAACACAAATTAAAATAACAAATAAGGGCCCATTAGTACCTCATATACAAATATAAAAACACAAAGGCTGATGAAATAGACCTAACGCGTTTCGGCCTTCACAGGCCTTCCTCAGAGGTCTAATGCAAATAGAACATACTGGCTAACGTGTAAAAATATATACAATCAAACATATACAAAATATGAAATAAAGACCAGAAAACAGTTGCTGTAAACATAAAAGAAATAGAAGATTAGACACATATACTACAACTAATGAATATATTGGGTTTTTTCCCCTTTTCCCTTTTCTGTCCTTACTGATTATTTTGGCAAGAGCTTTGAAACATTTTATACAAGGGATGAAAATATCCAGGGACTCACTTGTAACACATGACCAAACTGCTTGATTTGGTGGGGAGGGGGGAGTTGCATCTATCTCTCCTCGATATTCTGGGGTTTTAAAATCATAGCTTTGTTTTTGGTTTTCCTCCCTTCATCTCAACATACTAATTAGCAAGGTTTTGTCATGATGCCCTGGAATGGGGCTGGGGGCCGATACACGATGCGCTTACAAAGACGTTGCACCCGTGGTGACAGATGACACCCTGTCTTACGGTGTGTGTGTGTGTGTGTCCTAAATGCGGTTCTCTCATGTGCATCTTTCAGTAGGAAGAGATTCTGCTAAGCTAAAAAAACAAACAAACATCCCCTCTGCCGCTGAGGTTATGCAAAGTTTGCTATTGTGTATAAATATCCTCAGGACCATTTGTGCCAAGGGAAAACTGGGTGCGTGTTCCTCCACCTCCATTTTTATGGTTTTTTAGCACGTGATCTTTATAAAAGAAGTAGTCCTGCGTGGGGCGGAGAATGTGACCTGTCTAGACTGAACTGAGCAGACCTAGCTCTGAAGTTAGAAAGCTCTTCTCCACTTGGTGACCGACTGGAGGCTGACAGGGCCTGCATTGCCGGGGTGGGTGGGGTGGTCTTGTGCATGAAGACCTCTCGGGTCAGTGCCCTGGGAGGGCGGTTAACATAGGGTACTGGTGGATTTTCCCCCCTTGTGTTTTTACTAAAAGCTAGTGGGGGTGTGTGTGTTTAATGAAAACCCAAGGCACCAATAAACTTAACCAATTGGTACAACAGTTTTGTGAGTTGGTATTCTTTTGGGACAGGTGAGGCAGAAGCTTTAATCTGGACTGAGAGATATCTGTTTGCGTTTTGAGATCAATGTGCTGCATTTGGTGAGTTCCGCCAGTTTCTCTGAGGCTGAGTCAGGGATCCTGGAAGACTGGGATCACTGGCACAAGGCTGAGACAGAGACAGCGGCAGTGAGCCTGACGTGGTTGAGAGGCCCTTCCCCTCCGCCCTCCAAAAAGCAGTGAAGCCGTCTTGAAAAGAAAAGTTGGTTTTATACCCCACTCTTCACTACCCAAAGGAATCTCGGAGCGGCTTACAATTCCCTTCCTCTCCCCACAACAGACACCCTGTGAGGTAGGTGGGGCTGAGAGAGCTGTGACTGGCCCGAGGTCATCCAGCTGGCTTCATGTGGAGGAGTGGGGAATCCAACCTGGTTCTCCAGATTAGAAGAAGAGCTTGGATTCATGCCCCACCCTTCACTACCCAAAGGAGTCTCAGAGTGGTTTACAATCCCTTCCCCTTCCCACAACAGAGGTGGGGAGGTAGGTGGGGCTGAGAGAGCTCTCGAGAGCAGCTTGAGAGAACAACTTTGAAAGAACTTATAACTGACCCACAGTCACACCAGCAGCTGCATTTGAAGCTGCACCAGCTTCACACCAGCAGCTGCAAGTCCACGCTCCTCACCACTACACCAAGCTGGCTGTCCGTGGGTGACAGTGCCTTCTGCCCATAGGCACTATAATTGAGCCATTTTGTAATTCCTGATAGAGCAGCCATTAGGTATTTATACCTCACCGTTCTCTTCAAAGGGAACCCAGAGCCGTTTATAACCTTGTTCTCCCTGCCTCCATTTTATTTTAACAACCGACCCGTAAGGTAGGTTAGGCAAAGAGTGAGTGACTGGGCCGTGGCCCCCCAGTGAGCTTCTGTTGCATGGGGGGTGGGGGGAGGAGTTGAATTTGGATCCCCCAGGTCCTAGGCCAGCACACTCATTGCTACCCAGGCTCAGTAAAATTCTTCATTGTCAATTCAGAGACTTTGCCCAGGAAAACTGAATTCCGCTTCCTGCAAAATTTCTCTGTGGCATCCTGCTCCTGTTTGAGGGGTTGAATTTGGATCTCCCAGGTCCTAGACCAGCAAACGCATTGCTACCCAGGCTCAGTAAAATTCCTCATTGTCAATTCAGATACTTTGCCCAGGAAAACTGAATTACGCTTGCAAAATTTCTCTGTGGCATCCTGCTCCTGTTTCGATCGTGATGGGCAAAAATGTCATTTCTGTCCCAACCCGAGGGGCTACCTGAAGCAGCCTTTCCAGCTGCCGTGGTTGGAGCAGGCGTTGCTCAGGTAACCGTTAAGCCTGTCTTGGCCAACATAAGGTCTGATTTCTGTACCACGTCCGTTGTGCTTGCCTGGAATTAGGGCACGTATCCCGTCTTAATCCTGTTCCCAGACAAGGATGCTTCTGCAGCTGTCGTCGGCTTCTGTTGCTTGTTCCTGCAGAATTAACTCCTTTCTGGGTGCCTCGATGCTTCTGCATGATAAACGGGATCTGGCCTGTTTCTTGTGTCCCGGACCCCAATTCTGTTACCTGACTTTTTGGCTGCTTATCGTACACGGTATAGCCAGTCTTCATAGCCACACAGCCTTTTTCTCAGCACCAACCTTCTCTTCCCCCACTCCTTTTCATCCATGGTATACGTGAAAATGATTTCCCATTCATATGGCCCAGCTTTTAATGGATATTGTTTTTGAAGAGAACTGAATGTCCTTAAAGGGAATGAGACTAACCATGGCTGTCAGCCACATCCAAGAGGCAGGCCGTGTTCCCAGTCTGTATCATGGTCCCCTCCAGAGAGGCTCTCTGTTCAACCACTTACGGGAGAGAGGCGGCTGGGCAAGAGGAGCCTCTTGTCTGGGTTAGCCAAGTGGTGAGTTCCGCGGTACACACAGCGTCACAGGTCAGTCAAGCATATCCTCTCGGCATGAAAGAGATTGGATTTATACCCCGCCCTTCAGTACCCGAAGGAGTCTCAGAGTGGCTTACAATCTCCCCCTCCCCACAACAGACACCCTGTGAGGTAGGCACCAAACTGGCTCTTCACAGGAATAATAGATGCAAGTTGGCCAGTTTGCTTGGTACTGTCACTGTTGGTGCTGCACCCTTTCCAGCAAAATTAAACTTGTGGGGACTAGAGCCCACTTCTTCAGATGGTATTTATTTGGAAAAAGCTTTTTGTAGTAGGTTTTCAAAAGGGGGAAGGCGGAGCAGGACTTTAGTATGATCTCTAGAACATCAAGAATACGGCCAAGAAAATATGCACGTGATGCCAGTGATAAAGAGAACACAACCTATCTTGAGTATATATGCGCACATAATCTTAGATCATAGCAAGACTTGGGCTAACTGGCACACTTCCTTTAAATCTTCCTCGGCTTTGTATGAATAGTGCTGCAGGGTAACATGAATTGCTTGTGGGAATAGCTGGATTCCTGTTCAAAAACTAGAACACATGAAACTGCCTTATGCTGAATCAGACAATTGGTCCATCAAGGTCAGTATCGTCCACTCTGACTGGCAGCGGCTCTCCAGCGTCTAAGGTAAGATGTCTTTCACATCACCCACCACCTGATCTTTTAACTGGAAATGTCAAGGATTGAACCTGGCACCTTCTACATGCCAAGCAGATGCGCTGCCACTGAACCACAGCCCTTCCTCAGAACAAAGGGGAAATGATCTCCCCCCCCCCCATACAGTTGCCAAGGTTGGTTTAAATCAGGGCTTTTTTTGTAGAAAAAGCCCAGCAGGAACTCATTAGCATAATAGGCCATACCCAACAGCAGGAACTCAGTAGCACATTAGGCCACACCCCTGACAGCACAGCTTATTAGCACATTAGGACACACCCCCGTGTTACCAGAAGTGTGGTCATCCAGCCACACCCACCTTTTGCTTCTTATTCTGTTTACCCTTGTTTGTTGTCAAAACCCTGGGCTTTTTTGGAAGCAGGAACTCCTTTGCATGCTAGGCCACACACCCCTAATGTAGCCAATCCTAATGAGTTCCTGCTGTTGGGTGTGGCCTATTATGCTAATGAGTTCCTGCTGGGTGTGGCCAACTTGGGAGCCAGCTGGAACTCCGTTCCTGTGTGTTCCTGCCCCAAAATAGCCCTGGTTTAAATCTTACAACTGGTAGGCTGGCATCAGCAAATATTTCAGATTCACTGTGCTCCGATCTTGGAAGGTAAGTATTTTCATTGAATTTTGCAGACATCATTTCCTGGGGGAATGAGTTTTATGCTGGAATGAAAATCTTGCTAGTTGCAAAGGAGCAACTTGACTCCATAGTTCTGCTGCAGCAGGCTAATATGATGACTACTACCCTGTGGAACGGCATCTCTTTTCCATGGGCAACATTCTGGTTGTGGTTGTTTCATCTTTCTACCAGCAGGTGGCAGTAGGTGATTGCAAAAACCCCAACAACCCCTACACATTGTTTTGCTAGGTAGGTCTGTTGGTGGAAAACTAGACTTGACTCCCATAGGCTAGATGTCTTTGCTCATATTGTTTTCTGTGTGTTGCATTTAAGGTGGGTTTGATAGAACATAATTTCAGTCCTGGGAAGCCTATGAATGCCACTTTAGATGTCAGGCAGCTTTTGGGTGAGTTGCTCTTTCCCCCTGCCTTTCAGATGGTCCAGACGCATGAGAATAAAAGGGCCTCATAAGCCAAGTTTGCATGTACATGCTTCCCTTTCCCTCCCACCTTTGAAGGTCTCTACTAATCCTGCTAGACTCTAAGGGTCAATTTATACAAGCAGCAGACTCACCATAAAATTTTGCCTGGGCTATATATCGGGGCAGGGG